AGAAAAAAAAAAAAAAAAAAAAAACATGGACAGAGAAATAGCGAAGAGGATGGGAGAGAGGGACCGAAGAGGATATGTTTTCTTTCCTCTGCAGTCCCCATTCTCCTCTCTTCTATGGACGGTCTGTCTCTCTAACTCTCTGTGATGTACTCTTGGTACAAAACCCTCATCTTGTCTTTCTTTTTAGTCAACGGTCAGGCGAAAGAAACAAGAATGATGACTGGTTCCTCTATTATAGAGTGAGATCACTCCATCTTGCCTCTTTTTCCCTCAGAATGAGCACTCTTCCACATTTATCTAAAGAGAGATTTCAGCCAAAAGCTATAGATGTCTTCAACCCTCAAAACAGCAGCAGAAGATGCTGCAACTTTCATGCATGAGAGGTGGTCTTGGGTAATGAGTGAGAAACAGAGAGAAAGAGAGAGTATGTGAGAGATACAGTAATGATGTTCATTTTATTGAAAACAATCCCATATCCCTACTTGACAGACACCGTGGTCATGAGCCTCTCCACCCTCCCAATTCAGCCTCAGCGAGACAAGTCTTTGGAGAGATGGAGAGAGTAAGTGCTTGAGAGTAACAAAGATGATGGAAAGGAAGAAAAGGAGGAAGAAACACGAAGAAAGAGAAGGAGGACAGAGAACAGACTGGGAGAGTCAAGCAGTGAGGGATGCACGTTCATCTCTTCATATTCTGTCTTGTCTCCACGACCGTTTACTCCTCCTTCTCCTCTCCGTGTGTGATGATGTAGCAGATGTTCTTGTAGTCAACATTGCCAGCAACATCTGGGGGGAAGGCGGCCCACAGATTCTTAATCTGATAGATGAAGAACAAAGAATTTAGATTAAATAAATATTAAACAATTATCATTTAAGAATTATCATTTTCTAATCCAGAAAAAATAGATTGAAGTTGCAGTGAAACGGAAATTGTGACAGATCTTTTATGCATTGTGACACATCCAATTGAAATGGATAATTGAAGTAGAAAAAAATTCTAAGCCGGGACTTGATTTTATTGGACCAAATGATTGGAAAAGTCCAGCGTACATCACCAGACGGAAGAATCATTCACAATAAGATTAATAACATGCATTTAGAAAACAGATGAATTGCCATTTCATGCTGATTTAAAACTATGAAGAGCAACATGTAATCTCACCTCCTCCGCAGAGAACCTGTCGCACTGAGTGGTCAGAAGCTCCTCAAGGCTGGAAAGAGAGATAACGAATAGCAGTCAGACTTTTTTTTTTGCACATGGTAATAAAAAGTGAGTTAATATAGGCTTACAATTGCTTCTTGATGAAGCCAGTGGCCTCTGGGTCCAGCACCTTGAAGGCAGACACAATGACGTCTTCAGGGTCAGCACCTTTCAGAGACACAGAAAGCAAGTTACACTGACTGAATACCACAATGATTGGTAAACTGAAGGGAAAACAGCCAGAAAAAGGGACTTTTGCATACCCTTCAGCTTCTCTCCGAACATGGTGAGGAAAACGGTGAAGTTGATTGGGCCGCTGGCTTCCTTGATCATGGCCTCCAGCTCCTCATTCTTCACGTTCAGCTGGCCTACAAAGAGACAAGGATGGTCAGCACACATTCATGGATATATTTACAAAGGACACAAGTGACACAAGGCATACACTCACCCATTGAGGCCAACACGTCCCTAAGGTCGTCTTTGCTGATGATACCGTCTCTGTTCTGGTCAATGATTGTGAAAGCCTATGCATGCAGGACAGGAAAAAAATGACAAGCACATTGTTACAGGAGTTTGTGGTGATGGAAATTGAGCCTGCTCACAGTTGTAAACTAATGACTAAAGTTTAAAGAGTTTATTTAACAAGAAATCTTCCCCTTGTAGCTTTTTTCTCTTCCCTTACAGTAGTAGTAAAATCTCTTATCAGTCACATGAAACTCAAGAAGGGGCTTGAATAACAGCAGCTGCTAACTCCCACCTGGCCCCCACAGAGACCCTCGCTGATCCTTCTTTCCATCTGGGAGACGTGTTAAGCAATCCCAACTGTAATGTCAGACATTCCTGAAGAGGCACTTGAGAAGGCTGTATCATTTATTAATAAACCATTCAAACCACTTCACATCCTTACTTAGCTCA